ACTATACTCTATAATAAGCTGAGTTACTAACAGCAAGTAATACATTACAATTTTACCTCGTAAAAATTCTATAATATGCTTCCATCTAAACCTTATTCTCTTACATCACACGAGCATATACCGTACTATATACTGCCATAGATAAACCCAACACTAAATTATATACTGTATTGCTGTAAACCAACCTATATCTTATACATTTAATATCACACTATGTATTATTCTACACACCCTAATGTGTATCGAAATGGTTTATTACGTCCTTCCAATGATTGCTGAGCCAGAATCCATCTTCTCGGTTAAAGTTGTCTCTGTGTTTGTATATGTGGATCGCCTCATGAACGAATCTCTCATGATAGCCAGATGGCTTGCAGAGAACCTCTGTCTTTACTGGGTTATAAGAATGTGTCACCACCACCACCTCTGTACTTCATTTCAGATTTGTATCAAGGTTATGAAAACAAAACAATGAATGTCTCACATCCATTCAATCGCAAGATATTGCTTGCGCCGGGTTCCAGCAGAGACGTTTGGGATTATGGCCTTATTGCGCGTGTTGTCACTGCAAGCAAGTGTATTTGCTGCGACCACCCATCACTCCAGCTCACCTCACCTATAATTGCCAAAACAGTTACTATATGGAGTAGTGGACCTGGGTTATTAGACGGAAGGACAACAATCAAAGCCTGCACGCTTCCCCCACCGACTAGACTGCATGAAGTGTTGTGTGATCTGAAGTATTAGTCTTACTTATATTTTTCTTTCTTTGTTGGGCCAAAAAAAACACAGCGGGATTAAATATACGCACACGTGCTTTTGTGTCGAAAAGCGATTCATTGTTTCGTGGCTTTTTAAAGAAAAAAAATAACACAACAATTATATAACAATGACGAAAAATTGCCAACCGCAAAAAGAGTTTGTCTAGCCAAATTACACGCAATGCTATGATCAGGACATCTAAATCAGCAAAAAATGTAAACAAGTGACATTTGTAAAGAACGTGTGAATAACCAAAATATCTGCATTTACGATATCACGTGCTTACGTTTGACTCGTGGAGCACACTATACTATTAAAACATAATAGAATAGTAGGTTTTTACCCTTTTAACTGGTACAAAACTGACACCTTTATTCAAGGCATCATGTTTGCAATGACCACAACTACTTGTGTTGTGGTCATTGCAAACATGATGCCTTGAATAAAGGTGTCAGTTTTGTACCAGTTAAAAGGGTAAAAACCTACTATTCTATTTTGCCACTGGTAAAAGAGATCTCATAGTGTCTATTAAAACATGTTAAAAGTGTTCATAATTAGTTTGTTTTGGGTTATATCGAATAGTTATAATGCCAATGTTCATCTGTACCCTCGGCCACCCGACACAGGCAATGGAATGAAGTTGTTATGGGCAAATATGCTTTGGTTTTTCCGCAAAACAGAATGTTGAAAAGTAAGCATTTTTTAATGATTGTATAATTATTAAAATTATACCCATACGATATAACCGAAAATTTACTAATCAGGAATCGTAGGATTGGTCGTGAAAGCCAACGTATACAATGAATTTGTTAATAATAGAACACGTAGAAAAATTGATATATTCGCCACATTGTGCTAGATTTGGCTATACAATATATTCACATTTTAAAGCTTGGGTTGAGCGCCTCTTCATTAGCCTGTACACATCAGGTCACACCTATTTACGTTTATTCTGAGAGAAATCAAACAACTGCATCAAGGCGAAGGACTACTTTAGCCACTTAAAGGACCATGTGGATAAGATGAGTGTATTGACACGCTTATATTAGAATCCATCTCAATGTTATAGTCCAGTATTAGCAGTGTCAGACATGTTTTATGAAAAGGCTTTTAGCAGGCACAGCAAATTCAGGAACTCCATATGAAGCTAAAACAAGGCCAATTTTTAATTTATGTACGATCAGTGAAATTAATACATAATTTGAGTTCACCAATCTCCATAAGACACTTGAGTGCATGGGATTGTTCAGGTCAGTAGCGCTGGTTTGTACTAATCTACCAGCCCGTGACAGGACGTGTGGAAGAGCTAAAGTATAAGTGTAAATCTGTTTGAATGTTTATTGTGTGTGTAGAGAGGCAGATGATGTGCATGATGAGTCAGGTTGTCAGATAATCAGGCGTGCGGTTTGGGCTGACCTACTTATTTAATATATATTTTCTGTATATTTACCTGTGTAGACTATGTGATTGGGTTCATAAGAAAGGTGTTATGAATTAGATCGTGTGTCGATATGAGTGCGTGTCGTGAATCAACCACCACCCGATACAACCAATTAGTGGGTTGCCACGATGTGACGATACCGTGATAAATTGTACCATATAGATCCACAATGATCATTACATTTTCTGTAAGTATTATTATTTTTCCTAACAATATATAAGAAATAAAAACAATTAAAGATTGCAATACAAATTTCAATTATTAAAAAAATAGCTGTTAACCATTACACTACATTTGTGCTTTGTAAAACGTTTTCTGTGTGTCAAAATGATGGCATGGTGGTTGTGTAGCATCATTTTCTGACGTGTACATTGCAAGTATTATGGATTGTATACAAAATTATGTTTACGAATGCAATTTCCATGAAACTAATGGGTCCCATGCTGTTTGTGAATGGATGTGGTCTGTGACATCAAGAAAGCATGCTGCTCTTATTGGATGTGAGTAGGTTCGGAAAATCCAAACTGGGCCAGAGTCTGCCTATTTAAACACATGCTGCTGAAAAATATTGGTGCAAATGGGTAAAAACATTTTTTTTACTTTTCGTGGAGAAATAGACTCTTAACTGTTTATTTATCTATGTATTGCTTGAACACCGCTCGGCGGTGATTATGATGGCCGGTAAATAATTGTGGATTATTACATCACAGGGTTGCTTGGAGAAGCATTCATCCATTCGTACTTTGATGATAACCATAGTTATTAGCATATAAATTACTATTCTATGTTAAGACCACCTTTAGAATACATATATCAGTTTGACACTTTTTTTCCCAAGTAAGGCAAACTTGTGCATTGGTTACACATCAATTTCTTGTTCTTTGTTCTTTTTGTTTTTGGTGCCATTTCTTAATTTGCTTATTTATTTTCGAGTTTCCTTGAAAGCAGGGTTTTCATTTCCTTGGTAGTGGCTGTATATGGGATTTGGTAATTATATATAATTAAAGAACAGCGTTATGGGATGCTATTAGTATGAATTACGCAATAAAAAATGAAAGTATAATAATTATTAACATCAGTGGTAAAAAGTAGCATTGAAGCTTTACTCTACAGCCCTTTCCAATCCTCTGCTGGATGAAGGCCTATCCACAAAAGCCGGCCGTGGGTGGTTGTGGACTATAAATGTTGACCATACTTCACCACGCTGGCCAGCGCAAGTTGGTGAAGGGGGGGGGAGGGGGTCAGGACTGGTCCATATAGAGCTCATCACTCTCAGACATTGTAAGAAATTAAATTCAAGAAGCAAGGATTCGTTGTAAAGTACGCGCTCGTCACTGTGCAAAACACGTAATTTACAATAAATTAATATGTAATATAGGCAAATTAATATACAGCAGTAATTAAGTAAGAAAAGTAATTGCGAATAAGGTCGGTGGGTGTGGAGTGTTGGCACAGTGGCTAATGCCCTCGTTAAACCCAACTACAAGAGTTATCTTCTTGGTTCTTTCGGTAAAGTCACGTAGAAGGGAAGTAATAAAATAATAAAAATAAAACATAACATAATAACATAACATGATAAAATAACATAAAATAATTATTTTTATTATTTTATTACTTCCCTTCTACGTGACTTTACCGAAAGAACCAAGAAGATGAATCCCTGCAGTCACGAAAGCTTTAAATCGAAATTTTACAAGAGTTATATTTCCAGCAACAGCTCACATCGGGGATGGTTCATATCTGAACCAGCCCTTCACGAGCCCGCTACATTGCTGCATACTCGCCAGCGTGGTAATGTATGGTTTGGGGAGGTGTTCATCCAGCAGTGGATTATTATTTTCGGTCGTAAAAAAACACATTTTTAAGAACTTACTACAATGCGCATTTAAACGTACTGCAATAGTGCAATTAGTTATCAATACAGCACGTGTCAATGCGATACTGTGTAACACACTCCACTACGACTAAATACTGCCGAGGCAACATTTTTCATATGAAGTCAAGTAAACTGCTTAATTTCAGTTGCCTTGTAATTTTTCATTTCAACACGTGTTCAGTTACCATATGTACACATACAGTGAAACGCATACAACGCTGTGTTATAAGAATACATTGTCAGCAACCAAGAGATGGTAGTGCGCCTGGAAATGTTTTAATCCCATGAAAATGTTGCGTTTTTAACAAAGTCGATATTTTTGCCCGCATCACAAACACCTGTTGTCTGTAATACTGTCACATTAAAAAAAAATCTAAACAAGGTCATCCATATCGTAGAGCCCTCTGATAAAGCACATTAATAGTGAGTGATATGTGGCTTTGCATTTTTTCGCACGTTTCATTAGACCAGGTGTCGGCAACCAAAATAACAAGAAGAGCCATTTCTTTCCAATTCGGTACAAAATTCAGTATTTCAAGAGCCGCAATGGATCTGAGTACATACTGTACATATGTACATATTGTCAAGAAGCAGCCCGTAAAGTGCCGCATGCGGCTCCGGAGCCGTAGGTTGCCGACCCCTGCATTAGACGAACAGACAGATGGACATGGGATGCACGGCAGAGTCGGACACATGGCTGAACAGGTGGACGGAAACGATGGACGAACGAACGCACAGATTGACAGACAGACGGACAATCAAGGGATAGACAGGAGGGACAGACAGAAGGACATGGGATGCATGGGGGGGGGGGGATCCAACAAACATATGGATTGGTTGGACGGAATCAATCGATGAAGAATCGATGTTACGCGGAGCAAACGGATGGACAGATTGGACAAACGTGGGAGCTATTGTACTCACAAGAAGATGCTGTCCCTGGGCAGAGGTGACGGTATGTCAAGGTTTCTCATCCCAACGCACTCCACCCTCTGCTCTAAGCATCGGCAATTGGCCGGACAAAGCCAGGATTGACATGCCACGACATGCAGTAGCAGCAGCAGCAGCGGCGGCGTCAGCGCCGATACTCCAACCCACATCTCTCGTCTGCGTATGCCGAGCAACTGGTGTTGTTATTCCTACTTACAGCTACGTGTGTCGGAGGATGTCACCCGCTGCTACTACACCTTAGGTCAAACTTCAGGTCCCTTCCCGAGTCGCGTCGGTGAGCACAGCATCCCAGGGGGGAGCAGGCGGGCTGGGTCTGTGATATTTAGGGTTGTTAACCCGATTGAAAACTTACAGCCTATTAACACCGTTGAATAGCTTCTGCGAGTAACGCTGGGCTTGCTCGCACATGTGTGTGTGTGTGCTCAACTCAGTTACTTTGCGCTCTGTGCTATTTATGTCGCCTTGCTACGATCTCATTCTACAGTCTGCAAGATTTACATAGCGCACACGCAGTACGCATGTGCGTGTAATTACGAAAGCGCGCGTCTGTATCTGTGTGAGTAAATACACCGGCGGCAATCCCTGCTCCGAATACGCGCGTGTGTGTGTGTGTAAATAGTATTGTTATACAGCCGTGTTAAGAGATTTCAAGAGTTTGGAGCGCGGCGAGGACTCGAATTTAGCCCACGAGTTAAATCCTTTTGGCGAATGCGCACTGCTCCTCCGCACGCGGTCTCGATCGGGCTAATTACCGTGGGTAGTTTTAAGACGGAGGAGGCTCGGTCGGGGGTGGTTTGTGGATGGTAGGAGGGGTGTGTGGGTGGGTGGGTGGGGGAGTAAGGAGGCATAGGATATTTAATACGGATCTGCCATAAACCCAACCCCACAGTGCGGTTGGTTGGGTTATACGCGGTCCTTTTGATTTGCTGCTGAGATTTTTCTTATATAGCAGAGGGCCAAGTCTCCCTCCCCATCCCATACACTCCTCCCCTTCTTGCTGTTCCCACCCTGCGTCAGTTCGTTCTTCGTTGATTGAGGCTGCAGGGCTGTTGACATAACAGCAGCGACCCCTCTCCAATGCTCATTGCTGAGTTAAAGATCCCAACAAGTGTCGTCCGATGCGTTTCTCATAACGCCATTCCCAGGGGGTTAATGCCCCAATTCATCTTTCACGGGTCTCTGGCTGGGGTGGGTCGTACGCGAGTGGCGGTCACAACCACAGCGAGAGGTACAATAAGCTAAACTATTTTTTTTATTTCACCAGGTGAGGCCCACTGAGCTGTATAGCTTCTTTTCAGAAGCGACCTGACCGCAAATGATAGCTCAACGTAGCGGCTCATTACGCGGAAATGTATAGCAGCCAAATACTCTAAAAGGAAGGTTTCTAAATATGGGGGGACGGGGACCGGAGAACCCGGAGAAAATCCACGCGTACACGGAGAGAAACATGCAAACTCCAAATATACACAGGCGTCAGAGTCTGGATCGAAGCCACGACCTCCTGCATACCGGGCGAGGTAGTTAACATCTCGCCGGGCATTGACATATTGTCTCGAGTCGCCGATACTCCTGGTTGAAATTCAACCCTGGTTGTTCCTCTTGAACCACCACGCACGGGAACACGTCTGTCCGCTTTTTACCAGTCTCTTACAATACAATGCAAATTGAGTGTACAAACCGCACGCGCCTGATGATTGATAAACAATTGCCCCGACGTGATACCCATATTTCAAGCAAATGTTGGAACATCGTGTAAGTGTGCAAATGTGAGTCCCATGTGACGTTAAGTTAAACTCTTTCTACGTCTTATTGTGTAGATAACTCACATACAGATGACCCTATTATATTCAAGACGCACTACTGCGTCTTATAATTAGGTGGGTGTGCCCATATTTATATAACTGCCTTAGGTGCGTCTTGCTTTCCGGAGCGTCTTGTAATCTGGAGAACATGGTAACAGAGACCTTGGAGAATCTTACTGTATGCGTAGTGATATTGAATGAGTCACTGTAGCGCGTGGCGCTGGGAGATTGGTAGACATTGGAATTAGGGGGAGCAGCCCCCTCTACCAGTTGGACACGTGGGCCAAGCCCGGAGCCTTCTGGGGGATCCAGAAGGGGGCGTGGCCGAGGGCGGAGCCTGGCCACGCTGGGGAGAATAAAAGGCGAGCTCCGACTCCCAGTCGGGGCTGCTGCCATCGGGAGTGGAACTCGTCATGCTGCTGTCGTCTTGGTCTTCGCCTCTTCTAGCTGTGGGTCTGGAAGCATGTTGGCTGTCCAGACCCGGTATGGAGTTATCCCCTATGGCTGTGAGAGCCGGAATAAACAAGAGGGATAACGCCTCCTACTCGTGTCTCTGAATTCGCCCGCGACATATGGACTCGTGTCCCACAAAACAGAGCAATTGCTGTACCGTTTTAATTTGAAGCAACGCTCTCAACGTCCGGTGGGACGTTGTTTAGACATTGTAAGGGGCGTGAAGAGTAACTAACGACTTGACTTGTATTTGAACGCAAGTTGGTAAAATGCATAGCGTTGTGATGAGTCACTGGCACTGAAGTTTGGGAAAGCTTGCTCTGAAACGTGCGTGCTTGCCTCGTTCTAAGCTGCACACAGAATCCAATCCACCCCCCTTCCCCCCACATTCTCGAGGTGATGAGCACTAGCCTGATCAAATGAAAACCATGCCGACTCTTGTTCGCTCGTGTATATAACATTCATGCCACTGCTAATCGTACAAGCCTTGGGACAGCTGATACTTTAATCATCAAACAAACCCACCAATCCAGCTGTGACCAATACGTGCATGACAAAAAAAAAAATTTGTGGATATCAGGACAAATCGGAACACGAACAGAAGATTCCAACAAATCTCGTTACGACTGAATTGGTAAATGAATATCCCCGACGAACAAGCCACACACTCTTCTTGGTTCTTTCGGTAAAGTCACGTAAATAAAATAATAATATTTTTTATTTTATTATGTTTCATTTTTATTATTTTATTACTTCCATTCTACGTGACTTTACCGAAAGAACCAAGAAGATGAATCCCTGCAGTCACGAAAGCTTTAAATCGAAAAAGCCACACACTATATATAATAATTTATACCAATAGATGGCGCTGCAGCACGAAGGAATGAGTCCGTGGAATATGGATGCAGGGTTGAACTCGTCGGCTTTCGCGACCAATGAGTTTTTAAAACAAAATCATGCTTAAATCCATGCTCGAGTCCATTCTCAATCCCATGCTTGCTCAAACACGTGCTCTACCCCATGCTTGAACCCATTCTAAAACCCATTTTCGCTCAAACTCGCGCTTGCATCGAAACCCATGCTTGAACCTGTAATCGAACCCATGCCCGTGTGTCCGTGTTTACGTTCGATACAAAATCCCGATTTTCACGTAGGATTTGAGACACTGGGACAGCCTTTCTGACTGGCCAAACAGGAACGTTTACTCGGCTCACCAAGTGTGGTGCAATTGTTGCTTATATTCAAAGGCAATAAAAAAGACATCGTTTTACTGCACGTCTGCAATGCCTAGGTTGGCTAAACCCCAGGTTTTTTCTGCAATACCTTCAATGGAAAACTTTCCACATGTGCTTTCTCTCAAAGCAGATATATACTCGTACAAGCTATGGTTAAAAAAAAAACTCCTTTCACATATCCCACCATCGAAACGTGCAACTTCACTGAAGTTCTAACTTTTTCATCCCATATACGGGAAGGCCTCGACATCCACATGGGTTAGGATCTTGAAAACTCGCGCGAAAGTACAAATCGCGAATCTAGATAGCGTACTGTACTATGCTTATACTGGTAGGAACCTCCTGGTTACACCAGCCCACAGGGGATTATTGTGTCCGTCGTGCAGGGAGGGGCTGGGTGGGGAGGGTGGGGAGGGGCGGGGAGGGGCTGGGCGGCGAGGGGCTGGGTGGGAGGGATGGGGCTGGGTGGGGAGGGGCTGGTCACCCCGTGGTGCCCTTATAAAACTCAACGTTTAACCTACTCACGCCGGCTTGTGCCCGCCCTCACAGTCGGGCATATTTGCGGAATACACCACGCCGCCGTTGACCCTGGCCATTGACCGAGCAACCCAACGTTCCTACCAGCTCCCTCCGCAGGAATGTGGTTTTCCTGCCTTACCCAAGCTTGCATTTGGTGTTGACAAATCGACAGGAATTCACGTACTTGTAAAATGTGTACTTCGATACCTTATATTTATCGCGACCTGCTTACATTTTCTCTTACCTTTATATCGTTTTTCTTGGTTTGTTGATGCAACTCGCTGACCCGCCCCTAACATGACATCTTTGAACACATTTCATAGCTCATCGGATTCCTCCAGGATAAATATTCTGATTATAAAACCGGACTGTTGACTCGTTTACCATGTAACAGCGGCCAACAGGTGACCCAGGATCACCACGAGCTAAGTCTATCCAACAACTCAACTTGTCGAGCTAAACCCAGTGTTCTTCACTCATTTTCAGAGGGGGACACTTTCTCCGATAAGGCATCGGTGAGGGCTGCCACACATTTGAACTCATTGGAGGTTTAACAGCACGATGGGGATGTTTTCGCATGTGTATTTTTTACTTAGTTGCATAAGTGCCTACCAGAAACTCTGATTAATGGGGGGCCGCAGAATTTGTAATTGAATGCACTCATCCACGATGGTTGAGCTTCATGTTAACTTAATTTTGCATGTTTTTGTTCCGATTTGCGTTGTGAATGTATGTTGGATCTCACCCAAGTGCAAGGAAATGTGTCCGAGTACAGTAAATTGTGAATTATGTTCATGTACTAGCGTTTCTTTGCGTTAAAGTTCAGAATGAAGTAATTAAGTACAGAGAATAATATGTTATGACATTTATCGGTAGTTTCATACACCTTTCAAGACATCTGGCCAGTGTGAAAGAGTAGGCCAAATAACCCCTGGAAGGGATCTTGAGCTCCAATTGAAGGTGTTTTTGCCACCAGTGGCACAAGCAAGAAATTGCAGGTCTGCCCCTGTAACTATACTTGATCAAAGGGAGCAATGGAGAATATTTAAAGCAGTGTACTATCAAACCAACCACTTAACGCTTAATTCCTTGTCACTAATATAAGTGGTTGAGTGATGCCTATAACGGTTGGCTACGTATGGTGCAAAAGAAGTTCAACATACATAGCAGAAGCAGTCCTGGGCTCACTCATCACAAACCCAAACTGCCTGGTGAAGTCGGATCAACTTCCATTACCGACACGGTGTAGAGGCCTTCAAGCAGATTGATAAAGAACTGAATTCACTTTTTGCACAGGAATACAAATGGTACCTTGTTCAATGCAATCTGTTGCATTGCCTTTTCACCGTACACTTCGAGAAGAACATGTGTAATTGCCATGTATGATAACACTGGTCAACAAAAAAAAACTTTTTTTTCTGGCCTGGACTTTTGCAGCTGTTTTAGACTAATTTCAGGGTGCCGATTCCAAATCTGATCTCAGATTTGCTCTATCACATCTCATTTGTATGCTATCGGCATACCCCATTTTCATTGATTTTACCCGAAATTAACTCCGTCACTTATGATTGCAAGTTGTTGCGAGTCAGTGACTGCTTTAGTGTTAAAATATGGTGCTGTATTTTTAGGATAGTGTGTTTATAATATCATTTTATGTAGATATCCACATTTATGTAATATTTTTCTTCTGCAGTTTTTATTGAAAATGCAATATTTGATATCTCAAAAACCTGATGTGATAGACAAAAACTGATGCCAGATTTGGAATCAGCACCCCTAAAATTACCTTAAAACCGTTGGAATACCTTATGCCAGAAAAAGTGTGTTGACCAGTGTTATCCATTGCCTATTTTTGCAGGGCATTTGTGAATATGTATACTTTCACTTCATTGGTCCTGTTGTGGAAATTCCAATCGCAGTGAAACTATAGACATGGTCAAATGATGCATGCAGGAAGTATTGTCTGGTGATTGGTCTGATAAACGGGTCATCTCTGTGAATTAACAGCTGGTGTGCAAACATTCAAGGTCATTGCTGTTATTTTCCAAGTGAATTTTATTGTTGGACACAAGTTGTGGGCATATCGTGTCAAGACATCCATCTCCTTTTAGAGATGCACCACAGCCAGTCTGACTTTTAAATGTATTATTAGCCTGGTTAATTTGTATTTTCAAGCAAATATGTTTTGTGGTATATCTATCAATCTTACAGTTTATGAAATATCCCTAACCATCCTTGTTTAATGTTTTTACAACAAAAATACAATCGCATAGTGGAGATATTTTTACAATACCCAATTTATCAACTGAAGTACTGTAATGAGGACTGTTGTGATGGAAATAGCAGATGTAAATACGAGAAATAACATTTCGATTTCACATTTTATTGTGACAGAGGTTATACAATAGGTACAATGACAGTCTCAGTGATCAATGTTCCTGTTGCATCCAGCACAAAGTCTAAACCAAGGCGCATGGTCCATTGAAGGGAGATGTGCAGCAATGTGGTTGGTCTTCATGGGGGTACATTTACATTAGTGACCCGAGCTACCTGGAAACGAGAAAAAGTGCTTCAACTCCCAGTGCAGTTCATATTTATGACAAAGCGTGATCAATATTTTGGCCAATAAAACACATTTTATTTGATAGACGTATGAAGACACCATAAGTGTTTTTGTCAGTAAACTAACAAAACAGTTCCATTTATGTGCATGGAAAAAAGGTACTCACTGCTCTTCACTGCTTTGTTGCCTGAAAATAAAACAAAATACAGAATTTCGATTTAAAGCTTTCGTGACTGCAGGGATTCATCTTCTTGGTTCTTTCGGTAAAGTCACGTAGAAGGAGGAGAACAGGTCCTGTTCTCCACCTGAAGACGGCTGCTTGCGTTGTGGCCGAAACGTCGTGAGAATGATTTTATTATGTTTTATTTTTATTATTTTCCTTCTACGTGACTTTACCGAAAGAACCAAGAAGAAAAATACAGTATATTACATGACGAGATTACAAAGTAGCATGAAATATTTCAAAAATGAGAAACCACTTATCTTTTCCATAATTAAACACGTTAACATTCTCCTGTACAATGTAAGGATAAAATAGCAGAGCTAATCTGAAGGCACACGAGGGCACTCACCTCCGAATGAGATTTTGTAGTAGAGGAGGAACATAACGCCGACACCCACCCACACCTGGGGATGGGCGTGGAGGTAATAGGGTCGCATCTTGCCCCAGTACTGTGTGAAGAAGCCCGACATCTACACGCACAAAATATAAATTGAGTCTCCAGACACATAGCTGACCCGCCTCTACTCACTACAGTCATTTTGCTGTGGCTGTTCCACCTGATGACGGAAGCTTGTGTTGCCTCCGAAACGTCGTGATTTAATTTAGTTATTTTCATTTTTTTTCATACTCGTCTCCTGTTTATGACTCTGAACAAGCGGTTTTAAAATGGGGGATCGATGTCTTTTGTAAAACTATTCTGGTAGTGGTCTTCTGTCCTCTGGGTGGTAATGAAATTGCTAAGGGCAACCGTCTTCCAGAAGATGATTCTGAACAGCTACATTGCAACACGGCTTCTGGAAGACAATACATATTACTCGATTATGACGCAAACCAACTTGTATTTTATATACAGCTAAAACAATGCGTCTTGTAATCCGGAGAATAGTTACTTAGATTCAATAATAGAATTGTCTTCACACCCAGAGATGTATAGGCATCGCGCTCATCATCAAAATCGGGGCCCAATTTACATGTAAAGTCAAATTAAGCTAAACTGTGCACATTCTAAAACAAGCCTCATCTATAATAGAGGTATGTTGAGTTAGATCGCGTAGATATAAATGTGTCGTTAAACCAGCCACCACCCGGCAGTTAATTAGTAAGGTTTGTCACGTACACAGAACATTCCAATTCGTCACTAGTACAGCAACACCGGTGTGTTGGAGAGTAAATCCACAACATTTACAATCTGAGTACGCCGTTTCGCCAGTAATTACAACATCAAGCAGACGACAGCCAGATTTGTGGATAAATCCTCCTCCTGTTTCATCTCTACGTTTAGTTCTGAGGCAGTAAAGGAATCCCACATCGCCTTTAACGAAAGCCAAATTCATTAACAGCAAGCCCAATCGACAAAATCACATTACAGAGGCATAGTTACGGCGCATATCTGCAATGGGTCAGTGGTGGAAATTCCACATTCCCACGATGGGGACCAGTCCACCCATATAACCCATAACGAGCACTATCGTTGACAATCAGCATCCATTATCGATCCACTGCTGGATGAATGCCCTCCAAGTGGTCGCCATTGCCACACGACAGCGCAAAGCAATACAAAACTACAACGACAACATCACGTTACAACCGATAACACAAACTATGAAAGATAACATCGTGGTATTATTCCCTTGACACATATACTGCCGGGTCAGGCTAAGAACATTTAGGCCTCATCGAAGCCACGGTCCAAGGGCACCTCCCGGTACAAGAAAAAAAGACGAGAAACGGTGACAATTGAACGTCAACGACGCACCACGCCGTGTAATGGCACGGATAAGAAACCCGCAGCTATTCGCCGTAAACTCGTAAGGTAAAAGCGATGTGTGTGTGTGTGAAGCCCACCGCTGGCGAGGTTGACCTAGGGCGGAGGAGAGTGGGAAGCTCACAGCGCGTTGAGGATTGTGGTGTGTGGGGGGGGTAGAGGGCGACTTCGCGTCGCACGTGGAGGACGTCACCCAGCGATTGGGGGCGGCCATGTTGGGTAGGGGAGGGCCCCTGCCGCGTTACTCTATGGGGCGGGGGACTTCGGTCAGAGGCCGCGCGTCGCTACTTGATGACGTTGCACGACAAACGCCCGTGGACTCCAATGAGCACTCGCCCGTAGTAAGATGGCGAGCGAATGAGTGCTGCGGATTTAATATTAATTGGATTACAATATTTCGATTTAAAGCTTTCGTGACTGCAGAGATTTATCTTCTTGGTTCTTTCGGTAAAGTCACGTAGAAGGGAAATAATAAAATAATAGTGTTATTATTCTTGGTTCTTTCGGTAAAGTCACGTAGAAGGGAAATAAAAAAAATATGAAAAATACAAAAACAATAACTATTAAATTTCGATTTAAATCTTTCGTGACTGCAGGGATTTATCTTCTTGGTTCTTTCGGTAAAGTCACGTAGAAGGGAAATAATAAAATAATAGTGTTATTATTCTTGGTTCTTTCGGTAAAGTCACGTAGAAGGGAAATAAAAAAATATGAAAAATACAAAAACAATAACTATTAAATTTCGATTTAAATCTTTCGTGACTGCAGGGATTCATCTTCTTGGTTCTTTCGGTAAAGTCACGTAGAAGGGAAATAATAAAATAATAAAAATAAAACAATAAAATAATTCTCACGACGTTTCGGCCACAATGCAAGCAGCCGTCCTCAGGTGAAGGACAGATTCAGACGCTGTCTTTCCGACAGACCTGTTCTTCACCTGAGGACGGCTGCTTGCGTTGTGGCCGAAACGTCGTGAGAATCATTTTATTATGTTTTATTTTTATTATTTCCCTTCTACGTGACTTTACCGAAAGAACCAAGAATATTTTTTTTTTTACTGCTATGTCCTCGAATCCATGTTCCGCAATGTAATTCCAAGCGTGCGTCTCTCCATGCCTTGCGCACTTTTCAGTTGATTTACGTGAACGAACGTGGGCATCATTCAACCTGTTAAAGAAAGCTACAACTTCACACATCCAATACCAAATGCCTGAAAGTGGAATAGAATAGGCGACGTTTCAACGAAATGCCGTTTTTCATACCACAGCCAGTGGCCGCGAGAAAGACTCTTCGTCTAAAACTTAAAACTGACGCTCCCATGGTCAAGGATTATAACGGAGTGACAGCCAACGGATGGAACTCGTCCTCGGACATCCATCGCGGAGACGGAGCGATGGACTCGGTTCATGTCAGGTCGGATTGTTGGATGGATTCGTTGTATCGCAGGATCGTGAGAGGAAGCAGCGGTTGATCTCAAGGAGTCATTCTTAGGTGTTTTCGGTAAAGTCACGTAGGTAAAACATCAAAATTAATAAAAATAATAAAATAAAATAAAGATCAATAAAGATAAAACATTTTTAATAAAAATAATAAAATAAATAAAGATAAAAATGATCTCAAGGAGCATAAACCATCACCCCCACTCCGGACCATCGCAGTGGTGTATGGCTAAGCCAAAGAACAAATACTTTAATTTGCTTCGTGCGCTTTCAGATGCGCTTCTGTGGCCATCTGGAACGCTCTTCTGAAAAAAGGAAGTCACCGGAGCTATGCACTTTTTAATAATCTGATTTGAAAACGAATTTCTTTAGAACTGCTTTTAGTGTTTAGTTTGTTGTCCTTCCCCCGCACCTCCGATTAGTATGGTTGGCTACCTACGGTGCGAAAACACATTCCTGCGGAGGGAGCTGGTAGGAACGTTGGGTTGCTCGGTCAGTGGCCATGTTCAACGGCGGCGTGGTGTATTCCGCAAATATGCCCGACTGTGAGGGCGGGCACAAGCCGGCGTGAGTAGGTTAAACGTTGCGTTTTATAAGGGCACCACGGGTTGACCAGCCCCTCCCCACCCAGCCCCTCCCTCCCCACCCAGCCCCTCCCTGCACGACGGACACAATAATCTCGTGGGCTGGTGTAACCAGGAGGTTCTTACCAGTATAAGTTCAACAAACGTACAAATACCCACCATTCGCACTAAGTGATGGCGACGTCACCACGGCGCCTCTGCCAGGCCAGGTGCACTTTGAGGCCACGTGAAGTTGTCGAAGGTTCGCTGACAGGTCACGGGACAGACCCATACCTGTCAATCCATACGATATACTCGTATTCTTGTACAGGAAAAATCACTGTTCCGATCCATACGGCGTACAGCCGTTTCAATACGGGCACATAAACAGTTTTGTCTATTTGTTTTCCTCCCTTGTGATGGAACGTTGAGATTTATAAGGACACGGGGTGACCAATAAGGTCTGAATTAGTCTGTAATATGGCAGGCACTGAAAAGGGGTTGACAGGTGTGCAGACCCAGGTGACATGGATTGACTGAGATGGTTGACTGTCAGTCAACATAAACAGAGCTTCATCCAATAGCGGATTGACCACGGCTCACACCGATGAATTACAATATGTAACATAATTTTTGTTCCTGGGTACTAAGTGTTATTTTTAAATTGTCTATGCCTAAAAAGTATAGAAAATTACTATTATTCCCCACCAACTTTTCTTTTGTGACCAGGACTTTACGTGAGGGAATGACACAAATGCACACGTTTTCTCATTGAAAATAGGTTAATTTCAAAATATCAATGTCCTGGTCACAAAAGCAATGTTTGTGGGGAATAATAGCCACTTTCTATACTTTTGCGGCACAAACAATTAGAAAATAACACTTATTACCCAGGAACAAAACACAATTTTTGTTACAGTGTTATTACTGGTGTGGGGATCATTAACTTTGCTTCATGTCCAGGAACAAAAACATTTTTAAATCCTTTATATTAAGTTCGCTTGCTTGCTTGCGTGCTTGCTTGCTTACGACCGTGTAAATCTTTCGGTCGTTTTTTAACCCACTTCCCATGATCCAATCGAGTTGACATTTTCCACACAGACTCGTTGTGCGTGACAATTAATGTTCGTGACATTTTTTTTCCAAAATTTTACACTTTATAGGACAAAAATATTATATTTAATTACCAATTGTTTAATACTGCAGACAATCATCTGACCCATAGGTGGCAGCCATCTCAAGCCAGATGACGAGAGGACTCTAGCCGCCACGCATATAAAGGATTTAGAGTGAAAAACTTTGTTTTTACGGGTTTACTTATTGTTCGTGTGATGGGGCCCCCGGTGACTAACCCACGTGCTACACAACCGGCTCCTCCTCCACGTGGAGTGACTGGGCGGAGCCTGCTACTTCCGCGTTCGAATTTCCCACAACGCATTGGCGGCGCCCGCGCGCGTGACGCGCGGCAATTGGACGCGGGGCGCCGCACGTGACCTCGCCGGGGTTCCCCCCCCCCCCACCAGCAGCCCACGTGGAACGGCGCGCATCAGCACTGGGAAATCTGAGAGCCGTGATCCAGCCTGGGACGAGAGTCTCGTCCTCTTAGCCAGCTGTTTGTTACACGAGGTAAAGGCGCAGCCCTGCAATCGCTTTCTCACCACCACCACCTGCCGTCGGGGGAAGGAGGGCCTTCGATTAAAGGGTGCTCTCGCTAATTGCTGTACGAGTTCGGAGGGTAATTGCGATACGCTTCGCCAGTTAGATAGGAGGTTGCGACGTGCTGTATAACCCACACGTTACCACACCACCACATTGACGTGTCAGTGTGGTGGACGCGTGGACGTGTTGTTGCATATACTGCTGGCTGGGCAGAGGCGGGGTGGAGGGATTTAAGAGCTAACCGGTGACCGCTGCTGCTGCATTTGTAAAATCCCGCGTTTAACGTGGCAACACCGTCAGGACATCATCGCGATATTTCATAAACACATTTTTTGTTTCATCACACAAAGGTTGCGGTTGTTTTGTTTTGTTGGTATGCTAAAGATGTGCGGTTCTAACGACTCCGGTGTGTGTGTTATAGACAGCAGCACGGTGTAATGCCACGGTGACATGTGACGTGGCCATCCATGGGCTTTGCCGTACGCCCCGTATTATAATACGTGTACCCTCTCGTTTAAAACCAGAGTTGTCGGCGCGTCTTATAGTGTGATACCAGATTTACGTAGCTTTATTATTGTCATTGGACACACGCACACACATTGTGTGTGTCAGATAACAGCTGTCAGATCACGCCAACGATTTTGAGTCGCGTTTCTCGGCGCTGTCGCGTTGGCAGTAACAATTGTCACGCATTGTAGAGGCTTGGGAATTCTCACGAACTCAGCTGAATTGTTAATTGCAATGAATAGTACGTTCAATTATCACCCAGACCCATGGAGTAGACCAGTAAGCTGGGGTTCACGCACTCACTGGGGGTGCGAGACATGCCAGATTAAAAAAAAATAATCGAAACCAATTAAATACTGGCACCTAAGTACAACTACTTTTTCATGAAACCTATGTATTTATTAACATCATACATTTATTTACGATGAGAACTAAAAGGGTTGCAAGGCTTAAGTGAGGGTTAAGAACCACCGGGGTAGTCCAATGCAGTCTCCAACGTTAATTATCCATTATTGATTTGAAGCTTTCGTGACTGCAGGAATCCATATACTCTTTGGTTCTTTCGGTAAAGTCACTTAGGTAGAAAATCAAATAAATCACGACGTTTCGGGCGCAACACAATCGCCCGAAACGTCGTGATTTAATTATCCACTTCATCTCTGGGGCCTCTATCTGCTATGAAGAAGGGTCATTGCTTGAAACGTCGCATATTTAATATTTAACTTTTAAGGCCACAGTGTTGACGAATGTGAGTTTTTTGTGTTGCTTTATTATGCTTGTGTGCCCCTCTGCCAACCCAGCAGTATCACCGATTAATGTGCTGTATTCTAGTTTATACATAGGTTTAGATAGGGAGCAGATCGGAGCGAGAGTGCAATAGTTAGTCATCTGAACCGGTCCTGGTGATCACCTTTCAATTCGTTTTCACCAGTTCGCAATGAACAGCGAGGTGAAGTATGGTCAAACAATCCCCATGACAGACATGGCTTGTGACGGCCTTCAGTGGCAACGTGAGGGGGAGGGAGGGCCTATGTTTGGGACTGAAATGTAACATCTTTATAGGTATATTCTTGGTTCTCTCGGTAAAGTCACGTAGAAGGGAAATAATAAAATAATACAAATATAAAACAATAAAAATTCTCACGACGTTTCGACTGCAACACAAGCAATCATCAGGTGTGAAATCCACAGCAAGATTTTTTTTTTCAAATTTTCTTGCTGTGGATTTCACAGAAATTTTTTTATATTTGTATTGTTTTATTTCCCTTCTTCGTGACTTTACCGAAAGAACCAAGAATATGAATCCCTGCAGTCACGAAAGCTTTAAATCAAAATCTTCATGGGTATTATTGGTTCTTTCGGTAAAGTCACGTAGAAGGGAAATAATAAAATAGGTCTGCTGATTGGTATTACAGTAGCATATATGTAAATTGAAATATAAGCACAACTCCAATCTGTCTACAAATAAGACATTATTTTTTCCTACATCCAATTGGCTTTCCAGACCAATATATAAAAACCCTAAGGCATTTTTTTTAGCAAGCAGAATCTCAACCAGTGTCGAGCATCTGGGTATCAGCATAGTAAGATGTGTGAAACTAATTCTGCTATTTCCCAGTTATTGGCAAGAGCCCTCCATATAAAATGTGGGACTTTGTTCAACACAAAGAGTCTGTGTGCTTTATTCCTCTGGTAGAGGGGGTGAGGTGGAACTCGGCTGACTGACAGTGTTGCCACGAGGCCAAGCATGGAAGAGTGAAGTTCGGCACGTAATTATATCGGAGTAAAGTGTAAATGACTTGCTACGTGGTTAGACTGTATGCTGAGAAAACTTTGGTCTTGTTAAGCCATATTTGTATGGACACAATTCACAATAGTACACGCTAATCCTTTACATAAGTTTTAGATTACATAAAGTAAACCTCCAAGTGGGGAGGTGTGCATTCACGTTTATTAGAGAAAGGATATTACTTTTAACTACTTCTATTCTTTATAGTTAGTATTTGTATGTTGCCATTCTGAATATTTTGTAGTATATATGTTAACACCTGAATAATACAAACAGGCAATTCATATTCATAACAATATGCAAATATTAAACATGCTCATGGTTTACCTCACTCATATTGCACTGACATAACCGCACACTAGTTAGAAATATATTCTCACATAATGACATACTAAGGACTGACAAACCAGCAAGATTGCAGTGGGTCTTCAAACGTGTTTGCTATTAAATATACCAGAGCGTTAAAAATTCAGCTATTTTCTATTTAGACAGTGTTTAAAAATAACTGAACTATTTAACATTGAGCTTGCAAAAATCTAAAATTGCTTTAATTATTTGCACACCTTGAGTAATGGTCTCTGTTGTAAGTATTGGCCTTATTAATGCTTTGATGTTGGAATGCCTCCTTTAATAAGGGGTGCCTGAAACACCGCACAACAAAAACAGTGTCGCAAAGAAAACACACCGGCTCGCAAACCGTGCGGCACGTGCGTTTCAACGCAAATTAATGCTCGTTTTATTTTCTTTTTTTGCAAGGACACTAAATGAGCCGTGATGAATGCCAGACGGAGACATGGGCCCAGCAGCACCGATCAGGGCATCTACTTGGGGCCCAAGCAGATGTTCTCGCACTCCGCCCCAGCGGCCTCCGTCCCAGGCACCCTTGACCCGGCCAGATCATCACTGGAATCGGCGCCCCCGCAGGCTGTACCCACGTCGCAGAGCCAGCTTGGCCCGCCGGCCATGGGTGCGTCGTCGGGCCAGGACCGGACTTCGGAATTCTTGGCAGCCTGCAAGTCCATGAAGGGCAGACATGTGAGCGAGCAGACATTGCCTGGCACTGCAAGGAATATACACAATCCTAAAACCAGCCAGTGGATTGAAAAAGGACAGTATGTGTATATTGGCGGTGATGGGACATGCCTGTACTCCAGCACTGTGGAGGAGAGGGTTGATGGATCACACAAATGTTCTGAAACACCCCTCGCTAGGGTGCAAAGGGGCTATACCCTGCCTTGCCAGGAGAACACCGTACAACAAAAATGTGAACTCCACCTCTTCCATCTATATGGGATAGAGTGTAGCCCCGTCGCACATGTGGGTTTTACCCGGGTGCTCCAGTTTCCTCGTATGTTAACACTCATTATTTGGCAAATAACTCCTTAATATATAGAGGACAGCAGAGCTTGGGCAATTACTGGTGGCGGCTCACTACCTGGCTGCTTACCAGCTTGTCCGTGGTTCCACGCACCCCTGAGTCGTTCCCTCTCTTCGAGAGTTAGCGAATACTGCACGCTACAAGTTGAAATTATTAATATTGTTGTAAGCTTAAGAATTAACTTTTATTTATTAATCAACGGAAGGTAACACATTGCCAGAAGGTTACATGCCTACTAGGCAGTATGTTCCAGGCTATCTGGCACGAGTTTGGAGGCTTCATTAATGAGAAGCAAGACTTTGAGATCAGGGATGTATTTATAGGACTTACGTCATAGTACTGTGAAATTATTCCCATATGTTTTAGCACAATAATGTAGCAACGTTGCACTATAACAGTGCCTGACTAGAGGTATAAAAATGTGTTTTTCATGAACAAAGCGTCAAACCCATGCCAACCTCGGACATAGAGCCTTTATATGTATTTGCAAGATTATAGCTATTTTCTTTTGGTTTGAGATATGGTAGTGTCCAATCAAAGTAAATGGACTATGGTACCCCCCAATTCACTCCTCCCCATAAACTAAAAGGAAATGAGACATACTTGGAGGCAGTATGGGATCATTTCCTTAACAGCCCACTCAACCTACCCCCGCACACCCCGGAAGCTTCTCTAGGAGGATGGAAAGAGAATGAATTCGGAGAAAGGAGGTGAACGGCTCCCGAATAGACTGACAAGAATCCGAGGGAGAGGACAGAGGGAAATTATTATGAATGACGTCACCTTGACCCCCTCCACCTTGCAGCCAGTCCTGGAACCTGCGCTCATTTTTTTCTCTCCAGTTGCCCTACTCCACTCCCCTCCTCCCACTTAACCAGAAATTGTTCCTCCTTCATGCGAATACTTACCCTAGAGAGGTCACAAGCCACAGGTCGCCCTACCCCCTACCGAGTATTGGACCCATGTGCAATGGGTCTAATAAATAAATAAAGTAAATGGGCTTGGGCAGGGAATGCTTGAAGGAATGATGGCAGATTGTCCAGAATAAAGAGAGATTGGCAGCCAGGGAAGAGAACGCATCTGAGAAGACATCCACTGATATGACGCAAATAGAATCAGCTCTTGCGCAGGTGTTAGGTGGACATAATAGGATTCGGAGAGAGAGAGGGTGGTATAGTGCAGAGGCCTTCATCCAGCAGTGAATTGATGATGGCTGATGGCCATGATAGCATGCAATTGTAGCCACATCTCAAGACGTTGCAGAGAAACAATGGCCGTTTTTATTTTGTAGATAAAACCTCGTTTCGTGGTATTGTCTGCCTTAAAAATCCAGTATCTTCATACCCAAGACAGTGTTTGGGAGTGCACATCATTGTTGGCCGTCCAAATCCAGTTGTGGAAATTCCACATTTCTATGGCGAGTGACCACTTTCTGCAAATGATAACCAACGTTGACTCCCCATGACGCAATGTAAATTGTATTAACCCAGAGGGATGAGGGGTTAAGTTGCCTGGGATTTGAATTACAGGATTCTGATGGAATCAGAACTGAAGTCACGGTGGCTTGCAGGTCGATGGAGAAAAAAAGGTTTCCCATGTCATCAATAACAAATGCTGGCTCATCAATTGCAATTCCAAGTGTGTATACACTGAAGTGTTTAGTAATGAATATGGTGGTAAATGCTTCCCAGCCTGTGCCTCTAAACTGCTGACAGTGCAAGCCCTGAAAGTACACGCTTTCATTAAAATTGGCAGAATCCTTATGTTTGTGATGGCAAGAGTTGCTTTCTTGATCCTCAGTTTACCCATACCAAGCACAATGTCTACAGACTGGGATTTGCATAATAAGCATCATGGCTTATCAGTAATTGCCATATATTTAACATCCACGGGAGTGGTGGTGCAGCGGTTAGCGCACCGTGCTTATGAATCCGAGTTTAATTCCTGGTCATGGATAACATCAGTGGTGTCATGCCCTGCCACCCCGCATCTTCGTCATCCCATGCTGACCAGAATGGTGAAGTATGGTTGAACAACCTCCACGTCTGATATGGTGTGGGGAGCCCTTCATAGAGAAGTATGCTGATAAAGGACTCATTTTTTATATCATAACTAAAATTAATATTTCTTGACTGCATGAATTCATATTCTTTGGGTCTTTCGGTAAAGCCACGTGAGAATATAAAATTAATTTTGCAAGTGTTTTTCTTTTGCAGAACGGAGCTTATGTTGACGGTCAGAACAACAGAACTTTAAGACAGATGAGCGAATTCAGCTTAATGGCCAAGTAAGTTGGGACAGCTATGAGTAAATTGTTACTTTAAGCTGAATTCGCACTTAAATATTGTGCAGCTGACTGCAATAAAATACATTGCACACCTATTGTAGCACATACACCGAGTGATCTCATGTTAAAGAAACAGCACTATGAGAACAAACACACCTGCTCGTTTGCTTGCAGATTTATTATTTGTTCAAATTACTGTTTTTGTTGGAATTTTGACAATTTAGTAAACGGATTTAATTCGGCCATCGTGGCTTTTCTGCTTGCACAGACGTGCAGAAACTAACTTGATTAAAAACTAATTGCATTTAAGTACAGCGGGAGTTGTTAACTTGGATTGAATTCATCTGCAGTGTGCAGTCTATCCGTTATGGAGGCAAGCAATTTGAATTGGCTGCAACAGAAAAGCAAACACATTAATTGTTATTAATCTCGTTTTAGAAGCTTGGCAGTGGGAGGATGAAGCCAAAAAGCACAAGCAAAGCACTAATTACTGCTGCCCTTTCTCCCAGGCGAATTGGAAGGGACTTGAGCAACACATTTGGCAAGCTGGAAAAACTGACGTTTTGTAAGTCTGGCATGTGGCCCTCATTTTGTGATGGCACCGAGACAGGAATGTACCGTTGGATGCATCGCCAATGTGTTCACTTATGAGAGGCATGGGTCCATTCTGCATTCATGACCCCGAGCATTAACACCTGCAACCAATTCTGTTTGTTCATCCATCATCCGTCGCACATTCCATGTCTGGTAAAGATGAGGCTCTTATTTTTGTATAATTCCTGCTCGTACCCTTCCCAAAGAATATGGCAGTTTTTGCTTTAAGTGTAAATATTATGATAATTAAGAGGATGGCGTAAAATGTTACTGCGTGCTCAATCACAATGCAAAACAATGGAATGCATAAGCAGAGCATTGCAGTATATATATTTGGAATTGGCATGCAGCAGATCCAATTCAGCTTCACAAACATTGGCACTTTCCGCCGTGCAATCAAACTGATGGAATTAGGAGATGGGGAGAAAAAAAAGAGACCCGATGTAACATTCTGGAATTCAAACAAACGGATTCCGCAGACTCGGAATGCCAACGTTGCCACGCTAAAAGCCACGGTGACGTTCCTGCCTCCATTGGGATTGCCCACCCACCCCACCCGCGTCAGCCGCTGTGGTGTTGGACGAGTGGCAGCCTTCCGTAATGGGTCTTGGCAGCAATGTTTGTGCCAGGCTTTCCTGCGGTGTTTTTTTTTTTTTACGAGGCGTTACGGGCCGCTGAGCAGTGTGCTTTTTGGGCACATTTGACGTGCGGGGTTGCTGAGGTTATTGGAATACATGGCACAAATTACCCCCCCAAGCTAACTCGCACTTATTACCGTTTTTTGAAATTCCAATATTCTCCAGAATAACACACTTTTATTCCTCCCCAATATTTTAAAACAAAATAGGAATGCGCCTTGCAAGCCGCAGAATGCATTTATTCCGGAAGACATGTTTTAGTCTAGATGTTCGGAGCTAATTTTCCTTAAGATCGTTCTCCATAGCAGCTATACAGAATAGTCTTGAATACATCATATTTTCCTATTTTTATAGAAGTGCAGTCATAATCATCTTCCTCAAGACGGCGCTCCATAACACCATTATAAAACAAACGAGTGGGGTGCCTTTTACTTTCCGGATTGCCTTAAGAGAATGTAAATAGTTGCCAAGTAGTGATATCTACCTACTTAATAAGTGCACAGGCTCCGAATTATGTACATTAAAACAAACCTGACTAAAGTAATTTTACACATTAATCTCAACAATGGCTTTGAATATTTTTGATGTTCATATTTACAAAGCTCTGTATATGTTTAACGGATGTGTTAAATGGCACTCATTTTTCAACACTGTAATAGCTTATAAATTATCCATTAAATGAACAAGACAGTCGATGCTGCATTCACCTCATTTAAACTTTCATTGCGTGTTGAGAGATTTAATCGGAATAATATTGCAACAGATGTATGCAATATGATTACGATGATATGCAAACTAGTTCTGACTGATGGTAAAATTAACAAAATACACCCCCTCCCCCGAAAATAAGTCCCCGCTGATCTTATTATATAGTCATAATAAATTAAAATAGAATACATAATTAAATTACGTATGACACAATGGGTGTACCGACAGAGACCCGAGTTCAACATCCAGCCACGGCTAACATCAGTGGCTAGTGATATCTGAATGGATCCTGGGATTACACCCTTCACCGAACTCACAAATACCAGTATGGTGAGGTACTGTCAAACAACCCCCATTAACGGCATGGAGTAAAGCTCCCTTAATTCTGTAGTGAATCGACAAAGGGCTGTAATGTTTTTTTTTCTTATCATCACACAAAGGCTGGCTCAAGAGGCAATGGACTGCCGTGGTTTTGAGTTGCAGTTAAAGGACAAAACAAACCCAGCTCGTGTAGTTACGCACCTCACCTGTGCCAGGCTGCCTGCTATGACTTTGAAGCATTGGTAATGAGATCAAGCTGGCACACCAGTCTATTAAGCAGACATTTTAGTTAGACGATTTGATCACGCGAAGAAATGCGTGCGTGTGTTTGTGTATATTAACGTGCAAAAGGACCAGCACATGTTATAGCGCAAGTGCACTAATCATATTGCCATGCCAAGTGTTATTTTGCCTTGTCTGATCTAGACACAGTGTTATTAATAAGCTATGTGGCATTTTTTATATGAATTTGTACGTGGTTTTAAGTGTTTGTGAAAATGTGTGAGGTGTCCTTGATGGTTCAATGTAATTTTTCTCAAGATAGCAATAAGTGCTGAGGGTAGCATTAGCCACTTAACCTCTAACCGTAAACCATAGACACTCTTTAGCCAAGAAAATAAAGAAGATGCATTCTGTCACTGTCTTGTTGGCTGTTGCAGTGACGAAAAATATGTCACTTCAAGATGAGAAATCTGGAGAGATTGGGGAACTCACCTACATCATCAAACAGGTAAAACCTGATTTCTACATTTGAATTATAGAAGGCTTACTCGAACGTATGTCAAATAAATGTAGCGAGCTTTTTTGCACATCCAATGACGGGTGTATATTGCAGTAAATCTGAAATATTCAATAGAAAAATGATTTCCGGTCATGATTATTAATGAGGGGGGGGGGGGGGTTGCCCCATGTGGAGTGACGTTACCCCCTCATGGTTATTGTGGAGGGGTGCGGCATGTGGATTGACGTCACCCACTCATGATTAATAATGAGGGGAGGGGTGCGGCATGTGGAGTGACGTCACCCACTTATGATTATTAATGAGGGGAGGGGTGCGGCATGTGGAGTGCGCGACCTTGTGCGTAAATTTCCACGCGTGCATGAATATTAATTAAAGGGGGGGGGGGGCTCTTTTGCAGTGACGTCACGCACAGATGTAGCACTGTGCTGCGTAGATTCATTTTTTACCGTCACTTTTTGTAAAGAAACGTCATAACTTGAAGCGACTGCGTAATACATTATTTAATTCAGCTAGATCTTCTGCGTTAGTGTAAAAATCCACCCACTCATGAATATTAAAGAGGGAGGTGGGCCTCGTGGAGTGACGTCACGTGGGGGGTGGGCCTCATGTGGAGTGACGTCACACACGGGGGACGGACAGACATTTCTGGGTGATTATAGTAGGTAATGCACAAAAACAATATCAGTGTAATCAGCTTTTGTTCTTTCACAGAGTACTTTTTAAAATAGTATTTATGGATGTATATGCAACTGTTTAACAATTCAAAGCTCAGTTCTGTTCAACAGCTGAGCCTCACTCCTAGCTGACTTCTGATAGCTCCGTAAGCACCCGCCATGCAAAATTCCTTTCTGCCTTGCAGGACATAAACAGCCTGAACAAGCAGATCGCACAACTGCAGGCATTCGTGAGGAGCCGTGGTGCTCAGAATGGACGGCATGCCCACTCTCACGCCAGCACGGTGGTCGTGGCACTGCAGGTAAGACAACGTGGCACCCGCTAGGGTCAGAGTGACTCATTGTAACAAGCTCCCGGCTATAGTCATAGCCTGGCATGGATGGAAGAAGGCTTGGCAGGCACCAAATCACGTTTTTCACCAGTTCATGAAATGAACAAATGTCACTGTGGTGTGTGTTGTGTAACTTTTAGGTGTTTTTTTTCTGGGCCTTTTTTTTAGTCTCGACTTGCTGGCATGTCAAATGAATTCAAATCGGTTCTGGAAGTTAGAACGGAGGTGAGCATTGAATGGATTGCTTTCTGTGATATTTTACGTGACATTTGATTATGGCAATGTATGATTTAAAAACAAAAAATAGTACGATTTGCTGATTTTCTGTCAAAACTCCATGTTGTCTTTAGAGCTTGAGGCAGATGCAGAGGAGGAAAGAGCAGTTTGCCCAGAGTTCCTCAATGGGCGTTCCATTCACGCAGGTGACAGGACATGGTATGCCTCACCTCCTCCAAGCCACACACCGCACACCAGCAGCCTCTTCTGACTTTTAATTTGTATTTTTAATAAATTTTACCAGATAAGACCCACTTGAGCTATAGAGCTCTTTTTCAGAAGTGACCTTGCCACAAATGATAGCTCAACGAAGTGGCTTGTCACGTGGACATTTAATATTTTTTATACTCCTAAATGCGTGATGTTGATTTTAAATGTGGATGGAAAAACCAGAAGATCCGTATTTGCATTTTCTAAGAGTACTGTAACCATGTTCGCTGGATTATAGGACAAACTTTTTTCCCCTTTAATTTAAAGTACAAGTTGTGGGCATGTCTCAGAATCCGATATGTGCTATGTGTGTGTGTGATCATACTTTCATAATTTAAACACCGGGCACAAGTTTGGGGTGGGATACGTCCCATTTTCTGGAGCATCTGAATATGGACAACATGTTTTATATATATTTATTTGCAGCTCGTTAATGATGTCCTCCAATTATATTTCTCACCATATGGTGAAGAGGCTGTTTGCGTGGTATGCTATAAATAATGAGTTCCGTGTGTAAACGACAGCATGTAGAGTACTTTAGGAGAGGCCATGTGCAAGTATGCAACAACAATGTTTACAGCCTGCCAACTCCACCTGGTGCCAGACTTATGCAATCAATGTACTCCGTTTCAGCGTAAATACCTAAAGCTTACTAAACACGGCATGATCTTGTACCTTAGATAACACTGCTTATATGAATGCAAACTGCCGTGTTGTTGCACCAATTTAAATAGCCCGCAACACCGAATAAATAAAGCTGCGCGTAGCACACCTCTGTTAAAAAAAATTGAAACGTATTTTGGTGCCTATGCTACAAATGCTCCGATTGGCTGGATGGGTGCACATGGCCGTCAAGGCACATCCTACCCAACATGGCTGGCAAATTAATTAATTCATGCATTTTACAGGATGGAGCTGTCTAATACAAAAAAAGCTGGATAAATCCATCAAAGGTCACCAGCTTGATTCATTCAATCTCCCTCTGCGGCAGTTGAAACAGTGGTGCAAATGTATTAAAGCCACCCGCCTCTGCCCACCCACCACAATTAGTCAATCGGCAGGTCATGTATTGTGGGCTCAAGTATGGGCACTCCCACCTCTTTGAACATGTCTGGCCAGCGTGGAGCAGTATGCCAAATGCCATCTCTCTCGAAAGCTCCCTCTAACGGAGGGCACTTACGACAGAAGTGGTAATGAACAAGCAATTGATTTCAGGGCTGCGCCATCAAGCAATTCAATGGATCCCAAGTTGAAGCTTTGCGCAGAGGTCCTTGCGTGCGCCGTGGATTAGTGACGAGGCAGTGCCATGACCCCTCGTGCGTTCGCGTCGGCGCACAGGCCTGGCTGCGATGCAGGACGACGGCTCGCTCGGGGGGCAAGTCTCTATCGACATGGACACGCAGAGATCCCCACAGGCACAACTCTTGGCAAAACAGGTCCGTCAGCCACGTTCACACACACACGTGCATAATTCTTCACCGTTGTTGTTTCAAAGCTATGCAACGTGCCTTGAGTGTGTTATCATTGCTTATCCTCACTGTATGTATGTTGAACTTCTTTCGCACCGTACGTAGCCAACCATGCTAATCGGTTGGCTACGTGTGGTCTGGAAACGTTCATAGGAGAGCTCATCTCACGTAGCGATGTATTTATTGAGTAGAATTCGAGTATTCAGTGGGAGGCTATTCAGTCTTTAACTCCCGCATTCTGGAACTCACTTCCCCCAGCAATCCGTGCTGTAGACTCCCTGTTCGAGGTCAGGCTCAAGCCTTTTTTTTCCATGCCTTTGATTTTCTGCATCTCTCTTCATATACAAGGTTGTGAGATGTGTTCGCATTTAGACACTGTAATACATTCAAATTGTGTTATATTTTAAAAAGCGACTTGTGCCAACAGTACAAATGTTCAATTCACAGGTTTGTTTTTTGTTGTGCATATTGCATATCAAAGTGCTGAAATCAGCGTTCTAAACTTTTTTGGCGATATATTTTTGCGATCTGGATTTTCGCAATTCAACCCCATGTCTGAAGATTTTTTCAAAAAGCAATTTGTTTGTATATTTCTTTTCAGTCAAATTTCCCTTGCAATTTACAGTGTCTTGAGTAGAATAATAGAGCTCGACAAAAACATATCTGTCCCTTATTGTGCACGCATTAACGAGTGCCTGTTTTGTCCAGGAGTCGTACATACAGGAGCGAACAGATGCTATGAGTGCCATTCAGTCGACCATTGTGGAGCTGGGATCCATTTTCCAGCAGCTCGCCCACATGGTCACTGAACAGGAGGAGACGATACAACGGTCAGTGGATTCACACAGCGTCTAATCACGTGGGTGGGGGGGGGGGTCTCAGCACGTTAGGAATTGTTCTTCAAAATAATAATCATCTTGTAATTTATCCAGAAAAGCTTCACCGAGTCTCAATACTTATGTATGGATGTGGAACTTGTTTTGCACCGTGATAGCTTAACGAAGTGGCTTATCACGTGGAAATTTATAGCAGCCAAATATTCTAAACGCGTGACGTTGATTCTAAATGTGGAGGGAAAAACCAGAGGACCCGGAGAAAAATCCACACAACCTCCGGGAAAACATGCACACTCCAAATATATAGGCATCAGGGTCGGAATTGAACCCACGACCTCCTGTATACGCTTGCTTCCAAAGTTGTGGGTCGCAGGCGAGAATCACGGCACGCAAGAACGTTCTGTGCTAAGCGGACAAGTCTTTGAACACGCGCAGCCCTTTGTGGATCCATCGCTAGATGAAGGCATCTCCATGCCATGTGAACCATGGAGGTCATTTGGCCATACCTCACAACACTGGTCAGAGTGGGGTTTGTTCTGTGCAGCCCCGCCGTGCATCCGCACAGCCTATAACACAACCTGCTGCGCCTGGTGGGAAGCCATCCTAGTGCTATTCAGGCTCAACCATGCCCGGCATGAGGTTTGACGAGGTCGGAAACATCTTGGGTGATTTTGTCATAGGCCGAGCATCTTTGTGCACGTACTTTTACATTTAAAGCAGTGCATTTGAAGCATGTGTCGAGTATTTTTGATACTTAAGAGTCTAGCAGTTGCACACAGTTGAACATTTTGGGAAAAACTGATTTAGCAATCCTAAAACTGAATATATATGTTCTCTTTACTATTGTTTAGGTTCTTTTGCAGTTGTCCAGTGTAGCTCTCCGATGTGCTTTAGGGTTGTGCCGCGTGTTGTTCGGCAATAATGCCCCAATATTTTACTCCCATGTGCTGGGAGCTGAAGTTATCCCCAGCATGTGGGGAGAATGTCAACAACCTGCTGAACAACACCCGGCATATCACCAGAAACACATCGTAAAGTTCGCTCTTTGTTTACCCCGTTTGGCGAAATGAGCACTGCAGTCATTTGCATAATAATAATCACATTTAAGATGTTCGTGTTTTTGGGATCATTAGACAATTGGTTCGGAGTAATTTGAGCGCAATTTAATCTGTAGTGTTGTTTGGACCTGACGAGTCAATTCTTATTTACTCTGAAGTATGTTGTTTTATCTGTTTTGCTTAATAATGATTTTCGTGAGTTTTCTCATTCAACTGGCGTGTGTCCCTTCTCAGAATTGACTCGAGCATAGAGGACACACAACTCAACGTGGAAGGCGCCCACACCGAGATTCTCAAGTATTTTCGCTCCGTTTCCTCCAACCGATGGCTCATGATTAAGCTCTTCGCCATCCTCATCCTAATTTTCATCATCGTCGCGATGTTCTTGGGCTAGTGGGCGACCTCGCACGACTGTGTACTGCGAGCGGCGACTACGCGTCGGTGAAGATAAAAAAAAAGATTCGCCTCGGCGTCCAGGCGTACGGGATGCTTCGTGGCACCACGTGCCTGTCTTTGCGAGTACCTGCGGACGAGCAATAACGAAGCCACCAGCACAGACTTCTTCATGCCTGCGATGGCAGGACACGTACGCAATCGGTCGCGTCTGTGTTGCCAAGCCCTCGACAACAATGAACACAGAACTGCTTTTTGTGTTTAAGTTGCCCTTCCCCCACACCTCCGATTAGGACGGTTGGCTAGGTACGGTGCGAAAGAAGTTCAGCCAACGTACAACAGTCCCATGCATCCACTTCGTGCCGCTCTCAACGGTTTTACGGAAGCAGGATCGCGGAGGGCAGCTCACCATGGAGGATGAAAAATCTCCAGCAGGTTTTTAGTTGTGCCACCATTATATTTGTAATGTTGATGCCTACTCAAACTGCTGCACGTCTTGATCAATTGCACAGGAAGTACTAACCCTTTCTTAGCTCTTCTTGTCCATTGATGTGTTCCACAATGCAAAGGTGGTGTTTGTTCATGATATAAAAGAATCAACAAGTTCGTTTTTTGCAAAAGAGCCCTATTGTGGTTACACCTATACATTCAAGCTTTACGTCGGCACACCACAACATCCAGGCTGGGCTGAGTATCCACCGATTAAAAATACATACGTCGTTAATTACTGGTTTAAATGTGAACTGAATAGAATCGATTTTTGGATTATCAAGCTGTACTTACTGACTCGTGCAAATGTTGCAATAAAAGATGAAGATCATGCATTACTACCCACCTGACTGTAAAATTACTCTGTACCATTCCAATAAAACCCCATAGCTGCCCATGCACCACACTGCCGCCAATTGTGCTTAGTGTGTCCCCCGAAGCAATGAATGTGTGCCATGAAGCGCCGATAAAAAAAGGACTGCACTGTTGGGTGCACTTGCGGGGCACTGATGTCACAATCAGAATTTAGATTCATCCTCAGCTGTGCCTCAGTTGTATAATTCAGATTGTTCAGCTCTCTGTCAGATGTGATGATCCACTCCTGCCTTGACCACACGTTAAGTAAATTGTCCCGATTTAGCATCGCCATTCGATTCGAGAATCCATTTATTTTTGGTTTCGTTTTTACAGTTTCTTGTTTGTTAGGTCGTATCTGCTTCATGATTTAAAATGTAATATTTGCATAAAATGTACGTGAATTGTAAGTAATCAATTACAATGCGCACGATTTGAAGCATCAAATGTGAGCGCAGTAATTTATAGTTTCATCGATTTATTGTAAAAAGCCTACTCCATAGTGTTTCATCCTTAACTTTTGTTGTCATTCCCAAGGACCAATTATTCTTGAATAACTCATTGACACAGTGTTTCACAGCTCACTGAGATGGACTAATATTTGTATCACTCTTGTGCAAGGCTTTGAAACAAGATGTAAGCTGCTATTTGTCTTGTAGTCATGTAGTGGCGAGTGTTACTGGTAGGAACCCACTGGTTCCACCAGCACACAGGGGATTATTGTATCCGTCCGTCGTACAGGGAGGGGCTGGGTGGGGAGGGAGGGGCTGGGTGGGGAGAGGAGGGTGGGGCTGGGTGGGGAGTGGGAGGGGTGGGGCTGGGTGGGGAGGGGCTGGTCACCCCGTGGTGCCCTTATAAAACTCAACGTTTAACCTACTCACGCCGGCTTGTGCCCGCCCTCAGTCGGGCATATTTGCGGAATACACCACGCCGCCGTTGACCCTGGCCATTGACCGAGCAACCCAACGTTCCTACCAGCTCCCTCCGCAGGAATGTGTTAACTCGCTGTTGGCTACATGTATTCACCTAGGTATTTTTTTAACAGTCGTTCATTACTTGTACGATAACATCAAAAGTAGACGTCTTGGGATGGACGCCACCTGTAAGACATTAGGCCCCTCTTGGTTTCATGAACTGTCACAGTTAAGCGGTCGTGATTATATTTAAGAATAAATTACTGTTTTACATTGTGATACATTGCAGTGCCTTTTGTGCCTGCAGAGGTCACGTGAACAAACCACACTCGTCAAGCACATTAAAAATCATGTTCTTACTGGCACCGTTGAATGCAGGGATGATTGTGAGCGTAAGAATCCATTGTAATGAAACCGAATGTTAAACACATTTAATTCATTGTATAATATATATTTTAAATACTATTTGCGTTTATCTCCAGTTGTATCCTGATTTTGCTATCAACGTGGTTTTCTGAGAAGTAACATCCAGTCATAACTTGGAGAGCCAGATTGAATGAGGTTTGTTTTTGTTGTGCAAGTCATTGGTCATCGGGCTGCAATCAACAACTTCACTGCAGATTGAGAATATGTATTAACACTGGAGGAATCCGATGAGCGAGAAAGCTCTTTTTTTAAATCCTTTATATTAAGTTCGCTTGCTTGCTTGCTTGCTTACGACCGTGTAAATCTTTCGGTCGTTTTTTAACCCACTTCCCATGATCCAATCGAGTTGACATTTTCCACACAGACTTGTTGTGCGTGACAATTAATGTTCGTGAAAAATTTTTCAAAAATGTTACACTTTATAGGACAAAAATATTATATTTAATTACCAATTGTTTAATACTGCAGACAATCATCTGACCCATAGGTGGCAGCCATCTCAAGCCAGAGGACGAGAGGACTCAAGCCGCCACGCATATAAAGGATTTAGAGTGAAAAACTTTGTTTTTACGGGTTTACTTATCACATGTCCAGTAGGGGCGGATAAGAACGTTACGACAAACAAAAACATGATAGTCGTACAAAGTACAAGAAAGGTAAACAAATCACCCGAACAAATACATCAAATACAACTAAACCAACCCCATCCTACCAGACAAAGCCCACCGAGGTGTTAACTTGTTTTTCAGAAGCGACCTGGCCACAAATGTTAGCTCAACAAAGTGGCCCGTCATTTGGACGTTATAATCACGGACAGCTGTCTGAATTCAAACTCAGGATCTGGTCGGTGCTGACCTCTAAGCCACGAGTGTGAAAAAATATTTTTTTTGTATCCATGGACTCGTATATAATTTAACTTTTATTTTGAAAACACGATTTATTTTTATTTTAATAAGCAAACTCGCGGAAAGAGATAATGATAATGACATTTATAAACGCGCCAGATTTTGCAGACAAGTCAACAACCTTAAGAGGCGCGGAGCAAAGCTTCGGGCTGCTCAAAAGCCTGAGCCCAACAGATAAGAAGAGGGCCTTTCGATTTTTCTTAAAAGTCAAGAGTGCATTTGATGTTGCGGATGTGCAAAGGGACAGAGAGTTCCACATTAAGGGGACGACAGCAGAGAACTGACGTGAGGCTAGAACAGTTCTAGACCTTTGGTGTTTGAAACAGATTTTGAGTGACGCTGCTGCGTCGGGTTCTACCAGAGCCATCAGTGCAAGACCAGGGAGTAGTGAGGCAAGGTTTTTTTTTTATAGGAAACCGGTGCTTTATAGACTGTGGTCACAACCACGCTATGCATATTCAGGCACTTATTTTCAATAGAGTATTGGGAAGATATTCGAAATCTTAAGTAGTGTAAGGTATTCATAAAATCAGGTCGTTCGGCAGGGGGCATACACATAAGAAACCTTAAAAACGGGCACACGTGTTGAAAAATAAAGGTTTGAAAAATCTGGATCGCTGTGCACTGTCCATCTTTAACAATGTCTTTGCCGTGTTCATTTTTTTTAAGTGTAAACGAACTATCAATGAATGCATTTATATTGACACGATCTAACCCATAAACCTCTTATGTTTAAATGTACACGTTGAAAATAAACGTTTGCTTCATGAAAAGCGTTGACGACACTCGAGCACTTAATATACTTTGGTAAATATCTTGATGAAACGTTTGTTAATCTGTATGCAGCATGTAATACGTGTTTATAAAACTACTGGCCATCAAACCCGAGTTTAACCTTTTAAATTTTGAGAGCATTATTTCAGTTGTGACATTTTTGTGTCTCTGTTTTTAAAAGGCAAATAAGTTCAGGGCCGAGCAATTGGCTGCAGCTTCCAACCATAATGACGTCACGCGACTTGACGATTTTTGACCCCCCCCCCCCTCGTCACACGGCGTCACAAAGTCAGACCCCACTCAAATATGACGTCACAAAGCTCTGCCCCCCCCCCCCCCAAAATAAAACATGCTTCAAATCGCTTTAAACTATTGTCATAGTAGTGCGTATTTAATGTGGCGCTGCATTCTGATGTTGTAGGAGAAAACATTAAAAAGTATATTTAATTAAGTAGAACGTGTTGTCTATTTATTAAAAGTTGCGCATTTTGATGTGACGTCACATTTCTCAACCCCCCCCCCCCTCCTCACACATCGTCACAAATGTCTGACCCCCCCCAGGTGCGTGACGTCATTTATGGACGGCCCCAAATGCAAACATTTTTTACGTACGTACTCGATTACTTGTTCAGTATCCCATACTGAACTGCTTCACCTCTTGATGTACAACTGCTGGGAAACGGGATCTGTATAATGTCAAAACCAAAATCAGAATATTTATCCTGGATAAATCCGATGAGCTGTGAAGCGCTTTTCTTCACAGATGTCCAGTAGGGGCTGGTCAGAAACTTACAACAAACAATACAAAAACTTTTTTATTTAAAGCTTTCGTGACTGCAGGGATTCATATTCTTGGTTCTTTCGGTAAAGTCACGTAGGAAGGGAAATAATAAAATAATAAAAATATAAAACAATAATATTATTTCCCTTCTACGTGACTTTACCGAAAAAAACCAAGAATATGACTACAAAAACTGCACAATATAAGAAAGGAAAGTAAACCGCAAAAAATAAATACAATTAAGTATATAAGTTATTTGTGCTTAAAATATATTAGGTAACAAGCACTGTAGTGGTATGCGAGCATAGCACCAAATTACATACAATTATATTCTTAGGTTTTTTTCGGTAAAGTCACGTAGGTAAAAACATTAAAAAGTAAAATAAAATAAAAAATCACAACGTTTCGGAGGCAACACAAGCTTCCGTCTTCAGGTGGTACCGTCACAGCCACGACAGCTGTATCAAGTAAATGATTGCAGAAGCGACCACTCCGTTTATACATACAATTACTTCATAGTTCTTGCATGTGGTTGTAAACTTGCGTGAGCTGAAGCAGCCTCAAGTTGCAGGAGTTTAATGCATGGTAGTACAATGCCTTGTGGGTAGACAGTAACTGGCTTGAATAATTTAACCCACGCCTTATCAATAATTTCAGCCTTTTTGGCTTAAACATGTTTACAAACCTTAATCCACAGTATGCAAAACAGGGCTCTAAATTTTTAAATGACTCGTTAAATTTATATATTAAACACATGATAAAACTATGGGGCCATTGCCATTTGTAAAGGTTCTGGAAATGTAATATAATTGTATACTTATCCCCATTGCCCGCATGAAGTTCCACTTGGGTGCGCTGCAATCTTCAATGTCTTAGACGGCCCTCAAAGTCCCTTGTTCACGACGTGCCGAGTAGAGGCTGCGTGAAGTACAAACGTTGGACTTCTTTCGCACCGTACGTTGACAACCGTGTCGAGTCCCCCCCCGATGGCGGTATTCTGCGGCTGCTCCAGATCGTCACGCTGTAAAAATGCAGAACGGTCCGTTTGACTGCAGCTCAACAAGCTAGCGAGATGTCTAATATCATGGAACATTTTTTCCCTTACAAAAGCAAACCTGTCAAGCCCGTATCAGTGCCTACCTCATTACAGACCAATTCAGACCTTACACTGGTCAACAC